GCGCGCGCGACAGAGTTCTGTATTGTCCACAATAGAAAAATCGACATGTGCTTTCAAAAAAAATCCACATTCCGGTGGCTCTTTGAGGAGGCCGACGGACGCGTCGACTGTTCTAGTGTGGACAATGCAGAACTCAGACGCGCGCGCGCGACAGAGTTCTGTATTGTCCACAGTAGCAAAGTCGCCATGTGATTCCAAAACCTGAATTCAAAATGTGCGATGGCTCTTCAAGGAGGCCGACGGACGCGCCCACATTTCTAGTGAGGACGCTACAGAATTCAGACGCGCGCGCGACAGAGTTCTGTATTGTCCACAATATAAAAGCCGACATGTGATTCCAAAAACTGAATTTAAAATTCTGTGGCTCTTTGAAGAGGCCGGCGGTCGCGTCGACTTTTCTAGTGTGGACAATACAGAACTCAGACGCGCGCGACAGAGTTCTGTATAGTCCACATTCGCACAGTTGACATGTAATTCCAAAAACTGAATTCAAAATTCCCGTGGCTCTAAAAGGAGGCCGACGGACGCGTCGACTTTTCTATTGTGGGCAATACAGAACTCAGACGCGCGCGCGAGACAATATTCTGTGTTGTCCACAATAGACTAGGTGACATGAATCTCCAAACGCTGAGTTCCAAAATTTCTGTGGCTCTTCAAGGAGGCCGACGGACGCGTCCACATTTCGAGCGTGGACAATACAAAACTCAGACGCGCGCGTGCGCGCGCGACAGAGTCCTTTGTTGTCCAGAATATAAAAGTCTGCATGTAATTCCAAAAACTAAATTCAAAAATTCGGTGGCTCTTGGAGGAGGCCGGCGGGCGCGTCGACTTTTCTAGCGTGTATAACTCAGACGCGCGCGCGCGCGATAGAGTTCTGAATTCTCCACCATAGCACAGTCGACATGTAATTCCAAAAACAGAATTCAAAATTTATGTGGCTCTTTAAGGAGGCCGACGGACGCGTCGACTTTCTAGTGTGGACAATACAGAACTCAGACGCGCGCGCGCGCGACAGAGTTCTGTATTGTTCACAATAGACCAGGTGGCATGTAATTCCAAAAACTGAATTCAAAATTTATGTGGCTCTTTGAGGAGGCCGGCGGACGCATCGACTTTTCTAGTGTGGACAATGCAGAACTCAGACGCGCGCGCGACAGAGTTCTTGTTTTGTCCCCATTAGCATGGTCGACATGTAATTCCAAAAGCTGACTTCAAACTTTATGTGGCTCTTCCAGGAGGCCGACGGACGCGTAGACTTTTCTAGTGTGGACAGTACAGAACTCAGACGCGCGCGCGCGACAGACTTCTGAATCGCCCACATTAGTATAGTCGACATGTATTTCCAAACGCTGGATTCAAAATTTCTGTGGTTCTCTGAAGAGGCGGACGGACGCGTAGACTTTTCTAGTGTGGACAATATAGAACTCAGACGCGCGCGCGAGAGTTCTGTACTGTCCACAATAGACTAGCTGTCCACAATAGACTAGGTGGCTCTTTGAGGAGGCCGACGGACGCGTCCACATAGCTAGTGTGGACAATACAGAACTCAGAAGCGCGCGCGACAGAGTTCTGTATTGTCCACATTCGCATAGTCGACTTGTGATTGCAAAAACTGAATTCAAACTTTCTGTGGCTCTTCAAGGAGGCCGGCGGACGCGTCGACTTTTCTAGTGTGGACAATACAGAACTCAGACGCGCGCGCGCGCGCGACAGAGTTCTGTATTGTCCACAATCGCAAAATCGGCATGTGATCCCAAAAACTGAATTCAAAATTTCTGTGGCTCTTTAAGGAGGCCGACGGACGCGTCGACTCTTCTATTGTGGACAATACAGAACTCAGACGCGCGCGCGCGACAGAGTTCTGTATTGTCCACATAAGCATAATCGACATGTAATTCCGAAAAAATGAATTCAAAATTTCTGTGGCTCTCTAAGGAGGCCGACGGACGCGACGATTTTTCTAGTGTGGACAATACAGAACTCAGACGCGCGCGCGCGACAGAGTTCTGCATTGTCCACAATGAAAAGTTTCCAAAAACTGAATTCAAAATGCCTGTGGCTTTTTAACGAGGCCGACGGACGCGTCCACTTGTCTAGCGTGGGCAATGCAAAAGTCAGAAGCGCGCGCGACAGAGTTTTTGCATTGTCCACACTAGAACAGTCGACATGTAATTCCACAAACTGAATTCAAACATTCTATGTACAGGGCATCTGTCTGCCCCCCCCCCGTCGCCGTCGCACCGCGCGGAGAGTTTCGGAAACAAGTGGAAGGTCCATCTGTCGCGGCCCCGCCGGTCGCTGTCGCACCGTTAGCCAACCTGCGTGATTTGTGCTGCGCATGTGTGTGGCCCCCCCCCGTCGCCGTCGCACCAAAAATATTGCGTGCCACGCGTGCTTGAACTGAGCTGTCCACGGCGAGCATATCGCACATCGCACAGCTCATTTGACCGATTAAAAAATGGCCCGTGCGACGACATATCGTTTTTGCGCATTTGTCCACGACGGGCCCGTTGCCGCCGCACTTGGGAGATCCCGTCGGGGGGGGGCCCTTCATCAGTAGTGAGCACGCGCCACGCGCGCGCGCGTATGCGCGTCGTTGGAGGTGCCATCCGCTGATTGGAAGCGGCCCCAAGAGAGCGCCCATGAAGGAATCCTCCAGGATGGAGGGTTCGAGAGATCCTCCACAAACCAACAGAATCCGTCTGGGCCCCTGGGATTCCCGGGGGGTCCCGGGCGACGCAAAGGGGCGCGCTTCAAATTCGGGGGCACGGCCGCAATTTGAAAATATTCTTCTCCGGGCGCCTGCGGCAGAGCCTGGAGGGATGGGGGGTCGGAGTCTAATTTGAACGAGATTCCCAATAATATCTGCGAAACACATTCGAACGAACCGGGTCAACTTACGGGGGCGCCCCCTCATTTCCAACCCTCGCCCTCCTCGCCCTCCTCGTCCTTCTCGTCCTCCTCGTCCTCGCCCTCGTCGTCGCCCTCCCCCTCCCCCCCCCAGGATGACCGAAACCAAATTAAAATCTGCCCCCGGGCCCTTCCCAGGGCCCCCTCCGAAGCAGTTTTTCACCCTGGATCGATTTTCGACGATCCCGGGGCCCGAAAGCGACGTCCAGAGGCGTAAAGCGACAAAAAACTCTTCAAACCTCGATCCTCGAGGTTCGAACCTCCCCTCCCGTTCCCAGCGCCGGAGACGCCTCAAATCCTACGAAGACGCCTGCGCGGAAGCGGCGCGTGGGCTGAGCTCGGGAGGGCCGCGCTCGCGCCCGCCGCCTGAAACCCGTGGAGTTGGGCTGCCGCCGCTGTGGTGGACGAGATGGCCGCGTCTCCGATGACGCCAGCTATTTTCGTCGACCCCTGAGGTTCGAAGTCCGAGGCGGGTTTCCGGCGTCGTAGCCTGTGGAGACCATTTTCGGGGCCCGGGACCGTCAGAAATCGATCCGGAACGACAAACTGCGCCCCGGGGGTGCCGGAGTCATGCCGAACGGCCACCAGAGTCCCCGAGACCGAATTATGGCCCGATAACCGACTGGGTCGGGTCGGCGTTCACGTCCAGGTTCGAGCCTCAAGCCTCGAAGACCGAGATCCTCTGGCCCCTGGTGGCTCTCCTCGTCGCCACGGCCGGACGCGGCGCGGAAAACTGGTGGGCTCGGGCCCCGGGAGGGTTCCGGGGTCCCATTTCAATCGGGTTTTGGCCGACGGGGGCGGACGACGACGACGACGACGACGACGACGACGACGACGACGACGACAACGGGGCAGCAGTCAGCGCAACTTCCCGGCAACATGCGCGTAGGGGCACTCGCGCATGGCTGTTTTTTGGTGGGGGGAGATGGGAGCGGACAGCGCGATGGAACCCCCAGCTCGCCCACCCTACCACGCGATGAGAGCATATGGTACACGCGCAGGGGCGAACATTTAGTGAGCAGCCCTCGGGGCAAGCATTCGGTCAACGGCCCTTGCGTTATGCATGTCAACCCTACGCGGGGGAAGGAGGAGAGGAATGGAGGGGGGGGGGAGGAGGAAGAGGAGGAAGAGGACGACGAGGGACTTGATGCGCAAATGGCACCCTCGAGCGACAACTGTCGGTATCGCACGGAATTGACAAAACTTGGATTGAACTTCGTCTTGCCGAGACAGGGTAAGCAGGGCAGAGAAAGGGAGGGAGGGGGGAACACGTGGCACTCATAACGGGGTTCACAGGCGCGGCCTCGAAAATCTGCAATGGCCCTGGAGTCGGACTCGCGCTGGGGAAACATGTCCTCAGAAGCACTGCGCAAACAGGTCGTCATGAACAGTGGACAGGAATATGTGGCGCAAGCTATCGCGTCTCCGTTGAACCCCTTGCGAAGAGGGGGCGCCAGGCAGAAATTCCTCGCAGGTTTCTCAGAAGCATGCGATATCGAATGGGCCGGCACACCCTAACAGCAGCAACCAGGAACCAACTTGAGGGTAGCATCCGCGCGGCGGCGGGCGCTGAAAACCGGGCGCAGCACGACTGCGAGGCAGAAGAGCGAAGCGCCCCGCGATCGCGAAGCAGAAGGAAGCGCCCCACGACTACGAGGTAGAATAACGAATCAAGTAGAAAACGAGGCAGGAAGGAGAAGCCAGCCCGAGAGTGGCAGGGGAGGGGAAGCAAACCTCGAACTTCTATTCAGCACGCGCAATGACGAAGCGCACTGGAAGCGCACTCGGTTGAATCAGCGCCAAGTTGCCTGGTCGTACATTATGTGGTGGCCCAGGTGCTCATAGTAGGCAGAAATATCCCACAACAGTTGTAGGTAGTGAAGTCCCTTGCCTGCCTGTAGCTCTGCCCTAACACTCTGCCTCCATACTGCATCTTCGGGCGACCTACCCTGTGTAGCTGAGAACTCCCCGCCCATACCGTACTGACGCTCCCATTCTTTGCAATCCGAAGCTGCTAACTTACCCTTAATGCGTAGCATGCCTGAGAAGAAAGCAATGCAGCGTCTTCCTGGCCCCTTGTGCTTCCTGGCCAGTAAAAGCTGGATGTGGCGCATATCTGAGGGGCCATTGAAAATCGCATCCATGATCTGGAACAAAAGACTCATAACGTGCAGACCTCCGATCGAGAGCATTCCAAAGTGTCGAGGGTGGAACCCGTCTGGCTGGCACGTGCGCTCCTTGAACTTCCTAGCTATGGCTCTCAGGACTTCGGGGTCTGCTGCCTGGGGGATTGGGATGGGGCGTCTCTGGGCTAGCCAGTCGTGCTCTGGGATGGTGTCCTCTGAAGCTGCCCATTTGTTGCTCCACATGGTGAGCTGCTGGCCCATGAAGCCTAGGAGGGATGAAGACAGCCCTTCTTCCGTGATGAACTCATCCGTGTCGTGAGCATCCTTTTCCTTCAAATGCCGACACAGAGCCCCCGCTGATCCCTCTACCGCCTGATCTACCCACTCCTGCCAACTGTCTCTCTGGAGGCGATTGTCGGAACCCTGCCCTGCCCTGCACAGAGCATCAAAGCAAGAACAAAGATCCAGGAGGAGGATGGAGTGGTCCGCGGTCTTGCGCTGCTGGAATATTTGGGCAACTGCTGAAACCCATGGGTGAAAGATCTTCCCTCCTTCTCTCCAATGCATGCGGAACGGTCCACCCTTGTGGGGCAGTCGCACCATCACCTGGACCAGCTGGGCGCAATATCCTGCTGGAAAGTGACCCTCCTCAACAGCGTAGTACAAACTGCGGGGCTCCCAGAAACGTCTTCGTAGCCATGACAATGCCCTTTCTGGGAGACCTTTGTCGTAGTGCTTAGTTTGCAATAACTGCTGGAGTGGTACTTGCTTGATTTCCAGTTTTTCCCCAGGCTGCTTGCCGGATGGAGGAGCTCGGGTTCGTAAACTGATCTCTTTGGTCACCTTGGATAACCAATCCGAGTACTTTTGGTCCAAGAATTCCGTTGCAGTTTGAATCTCCTCTGAGCCTCCTGCAATGCTCCGCGTTTTTCCATCTGAATCCGCGTGGGCCTCCAGGTACTTGTGTAAGCTGGCTGCCACCTCGGAGTAGTCTGGCAGGCCTGGGTGCAATAGTGGTCCAATAGCTTGTTTGGTGGGGTATTTTTGGTACGCCTCTGGGGCGTCTACCTTGATTTCGCGGGCGTTGCCTTGCAGCGCAAGGTCCACCACTCTGTGCGGGGATAACTCTATGTCAAAGTTCACTGTAACGTCTGAGAGCCCATGCGTCAGAACTTTACTTACGAGGAAGTAGTCGATGTAGGCGCTTTATTCGATTGCCCCATCTTCCGCCTGAGTAATACAACTCGGAGTTGGAGCGCATTTAACCACCAATTGTAATGTAGATAGATCTACGTGTGCCGTGAAGATACAAACTTCAATGTTGAAGTCGCCACCTATAATCGAGGGGTGGACATGCCTTGTCATGTCGTTGCCTATCTTGCGCAATATGTCATAGTTCCCTTCCCCCAAGCCTTTGCCCGTTATGTAGTAGACCGAGTGAAGAGCTATGACTCCATGGGCCTTCGATCTGAAATAACACCTGCAGACCGGTCCTGGTACAATTACCTGGCAATTGTCTGCCAAGGTATCGAGGTGTCCACGCGCGAGGATGAAGACCCCACTGGATACTCCACCTTTCGGTCCTACCAGTCCCTGTGCGCCGTAGACCTTGTAGCCTGCTCTCTGTAGCTTTTCCACAGCTTGCTGATAATTGTCTTTTCTAAGTCTGTGCTCTTGGACGAAGATTATATCCGACGAGATCTGGGGCAAGATATCAGCCCCTGTTGACCAACGGTTTACATTCATGGTGCTGATGGCAATGTATTTGGGACGTTCTTTCGCTTTGCCACGGGAACGCCGCCGAGGTACAGGTGGGCTACCCATGCTGCTCTGCTCCCTCTGCTGCTGACGAAGACGACCCTGCACCGCCCTTGCACCCTTGCTGCCCCTTCTGCCCCTTGAACTGCTTAAGCTTCGCTGTAATTCGCGATGCCGCCCCATGGGGGTCATCGCAAACTCCATTGGGGAAAACCTTGGCATATGTCTGGGTACCCTTGAGCTTGTCCAATAGTCCCTCCAGGTCCACGTGGGAGCTAGAACGCTTCTGACGGAACGAGAAACCCATCTCCTCATCCAACTGCTCCAGCTCCTTGTCATGCCAAAGTTCTTCCTTCTGCCCGTCTTTATCTCCTTCCCCTTGTTTCGCCTTCTCCTCTTTTCCTGCCATGCCATCATCTGGTGGCACTGCTGCTGAAGCCGCGTACTCCGAATCATATGCCTGGAATGGCTCTTCTTTATTGGGGTGAGCTTCGATGACCTCCTCCCACACAGCAAGCTTGTGTTTGAGGTCTTTCGTCGAATACATGCTGTCTGCCAACTTCTCAGCCGCTTCTGAGCGCATGGCTTCGAGCTCACTCTCCAGACCTTCGGCTTTGGAAACCAGCTCCAACTTGAGGTTCGACAGAGCTCCCATGGCATGTTCGAGCTCATCCAATTCATTTTGCACCTGCTGGAGCTGCTTGTCCTTGCGTAATACTGCTTGCTCATGATGTTGCAGCTGCTTGCTGGGGGGTGCTTTTTCCCATCGTTGTGCTTGGGCTGCTGCATATATTTCTTCGAGCTGCCCCACAAATTCGATGGGGAGGTCATTATGTTTGGAGCGCGCTTGCTGCACCACTTGGCGAAGGCCATGGAGGGTAGGCATGCCTTTACGACCTGTTGCTGCTCCTTCTCCTCCAGCACCTCCAGCACTTCCTCCAGCTCCACCTCGCCCTTGTCCCCCTTGTCCTCCTCCTTTCTTGCCCTTGGTATTGCCCTTCTGTCCACGTCCTCCTTTGCCACCAACTCCCTTCTTCCCGCCCCCTCCGCCCATGTGGCCCATGTACTGCTGGTGGAGGTTGTTGTACATGTAACCTGCTGAACCTTTCCTTGGCGGAGGCGGGACCCAACCCTGAGCGAGAGGGATGAGGGGTTGGTAGCTCGGCGGTAGGGGCGTACCACAACGATAGCAAACTTTAGCCCAAGGATTGTTCCACTTGTTGCCGCAAGCAGGGCACCCCATAGCATGCGGAGACCTGGGGCCATTGCGGGGCATCAGGGAGCTCGATGGGGCTGGTGGGGCCAGGGCGCACCTGGCAGTTGGAGACGAAAACGACGGGGTGTACGGTGATCCCCTTGTAAGCAAAATGCGCCCAGGCGCCCCCTTGAGATATGGGGGCACCACGCACGCCTTGAGCCAAAATGGCTTGAGCCAAAATGGCTACGGACTCCTCCCCCTCCCCCCCCCCCTCCTCCTCCTCCTCCTCCTCCTCCTCCTCCTCCTCCTCCTCCTCCTCCGCCTCCTCCTCCTCCTCCCTCCTCCGCTCCGCCTCCGCCTCTCCCCCTCCCTCCTCCTCCGCCGCTCCTCCTCCTCCTCCTCCTCCTCCTCCTCCTCCGCCTCCTCCTCCTGTTCCTCACTGCTGCTCCTCCTCCTCCTCCTCCTCCGCCTCCTCCCCTTCCCCCTTCCCCTCCCCGTCCTCCTCCACTCCTATCCCTTCTAGATCGCTCCTCCCCATCGCACCCCGAGGCCGGTCGAAAGGACGGGCCCGGCGTTTCGCCTGAGACTTCCCAACCACTTACGACTACGATGCTTAAGAATTGAGAACAGCTTCACGGATGGAGAACGGGTGGTTTTCAAAATGTGGCCGCGCACATTCGATTGAAAACATGTTGCAAGGGTTTCACGGATTGTGGGCGAGCGGCTTTCAAAATGAGGCTCTCGCCCTAGTGCCGCGCACATTCGTTTTGCAATATTTGCAAGGGCTTCAAGGATTGAGGGTGGGTGGTTTTCAAAATGAGGCTCTCGCCCCAGCGCCGCGCACATTCGAGTTCAAACATTTGCAAGGGTTTCACGGATTGAGGGCGGGTGGCTTCGCAATGTGGCTCTCGGTTTAGCGCCGCGCACATTCGTTCTGAACCTTTGCAAGAGCTTCACGGATTGAGGGCGGGTGGTTTTCAAAATGTGGCTCTCGCCTTAGCGCCGCGCGCATTAGCTTTAAACCTTTGCAAACGTATCACGGGTTCTTATGGTTAGTTAACGTCCCAAAAATGATTTTGCGGAGCAATTCAGGACCGTCAGCGCGCAACAATTACGTTAACTCGCGTCTGGCACGACTCTGGACCACCAAGACCTACGCTGTGGCGTCCAGAACCCGGATAGGGTGGAGGCTCAGGGTGAAATCCATATGGGCTTTTGCGCCTCGAAAATCAACCTGCCTTGTGATTCACCTTGTGTAGATAAGGGTGAAATCCATATGGGCTTTTTGCACCTCGAAAATGAATCCGTCTTGTGATTCACCATTTGTAGATTCAAGCCTCGAAAATCAATCGAAACGGCATTTCAGATTTCACCCTGTGCCCTCCACCCAAAGAAAATGTTCGGAGTTCAAAACGCGTGAAACGCCTGTGGGAGACGTGTGCAAGGACGCCAGAAAGGATGCCTTGGGAGCTGGCAAGACCAAGAAAGGAGCTTCGCAGTATCTCCCAAGGAGCTTCGAAGGAGCTGCGAAAAGGCTTTCGGAACGCGTCTTGGGAACGAATAGGAAAAAACCTTCTGGGACAGATTCCCGGTGCAAGCCAACAATCTGCGGCGTTACAAGACCGGCGCCGAAAAGAGCTGCTGGGTCACCCAGTGCTGCTGGCTTCTAGTCTGAAATCCTCGTAGCTCTCAGAAAGCTACAGTCGGGGCGTTGACCTAAGGAACCCTAAATAGGGAACGGGGCCCCGTTCTCCAGTAAGTTGAACTTCGATTGCCCATGGAAAACCTTAGGAAAACCCGAGGATCACCGTAAAACATCTAAGGAACACGGAGCCCCTCCCGAACGAAAAGGGTTCCTTCTTCAGGGCCCCGACTGTCTCCTGAATGCCTGGGGAACTGGCGAGGTCGAGCAGGCCAGCTCCGCAAGAGCTCCCGTCATCCGGGGGCCGCGTGCCCGGGAGCTGCCGCTCCTGGGCTACCAGAAGGCTCTTGTCCCAGCTGGGCATCGCTCGGACGTCCATTCCCTGTGTTTTTTTGTCGGTTTCGTGCGTGGTTAGGATGCTCCTCGATGGTTCTCGCCGAGAAAAAAAACGCACACGTCCGAGCGATGCCAGGCCCAGGGTCGCCCCCTCCCCGCGCGCACCCCGGGTCTGCGCCCAGGTCGGGCGTGTCCTCCTAC